TTTAGAGGATGATGTCCCCTCTCCCAAAAGAGTTTGCCCTCAGGGTTAGGGACATCTTTTAGTGGTTGGTTTAGGGTTGAGGGGATGGGGAGATATTTTATGGAATTAGGGGTATTTTCAAAAAAAGGGGGGATTAACTGGTTTGATGGGATGATTGGTATTTGTGAATTACTGCTTTTAGAAAATTGTATTGGTACTGTTTCCTGTATATTGATATATTGAATATTGAATGTGAGTGTTCCTACCTCTATTTTTGTATGAGTATGCTTATAACTTTGTCTATATTGTATTGATACATCTACCATATTACAACGTACATTTCTACCTCTGATACTATTTATATAATAACATTGTTTACATTTGATATGTAATGACATTGCTTACAGTTGAAGATCATTGTCTTCATATATTGCACAGTTGTTTATTCTTTTAGTCTTCAAGATAGATAGTATAATCTTCATCCTCTTCGAAGAGCTGTAGAAAATGGCCTTTAATCTAACCTAGAATTCTGTGCCAACGAGACACAATTACTCCTGGCAATGCCACTCTACTCCCGAGAGAACGTTGAGCACCAAAGACACTCCACTGGGAGCTTGTCTTCTTGGCAGAACTGGCCTTTGGATTAAGAAAAGCCCATACCTCAACTTCTGACAATGAAACAGGATTGTCTTATCCTGCCAAGACAGGGTAGGATAGTTCTAAGAAAGTTCCTTGCCTTTAATAATGTTATGTCAGTTATGTTAGGCCTTAGCCAAAGTTGGTTGACTCAACATTGCAAACGAAACTTTGGGTGATTGCCCAGATAGTCAGTTGTCTCTGTCAATTGTTGCACATTTTGGATATATCTCGTTTGTTAAGTAATATTTATTCCCTTCTCAGATCTTTGATGAAGTTGAAGATTATATAATTGTAGTTACTCTCTATATTATTTAGACTCCTTGAGATAGAATGTTTAGCAAAACTTTTGTTCTCAATATTGTTTGTTATATTTATTATTTGTTATTATTGTATATAGTTGTATTTGGTTTAGTTCTGTCTTATTTAGACAAAAAGGGGAGATGTAGGGATAAGTCCCGCCCCTTAGGGGGCGTGTTCGCCTCGGGCTAATGTTTACCTATAAATCTGGCAAGCGTGCTCCCAGCCCTCACTTCTGCTTTCCTGGTCTCCATGAGAACGGTGGTTTTGTAAGTCTATTTCCCCATTAAAGCTGTATATATTTTTACAATCTATCTGCATTCATTTACACCGTTACATCCCACAGTAGGTACCATAAGAGCTGGGTTACAGCCATGTGCCCGCAACAGTACCTATACCATGAATGCTGGGTAATAGAAAATCCGTTCCAAAAGTACATACACTATCAGTTCGGGGTTATAGCTATAAGCCTACCATTGTATATACACAATGGAGGCCAGGTTATTGGCATGATCCATCCACAGTGTATGCAGCTTGAGTTTGGAGTTCATTATGGCACAGTACATTCACAATGAGAACATGGTTGAGGACACATGTCCACTACACTATTTTCAATAAGAATGATGGATTAATGGTTTGAGTCTCATACAGCAGATCACCAGAAGTGCTGCAATACAGCTGTTCAGTTACCATTGTAAATGCACGATTAATGCTGAGAGCTAGACATAAGAGCACCACAGTACATTCTGGGATGTATGTATGACCCTGTCACAGTACACCACCATGCATGGTTGGAAACGTGTCAGCCCTCCACAGTACATGCACAGAGTGTTGGGATACAACCACGAGCCCACGATAGTGCTTGTACCATGAAGGCTTGGATATAGGCATGAGGCTCTTGCTGTACACACACGACTTGCGCTCAGTTACTGGTTTGAGTCTCACACATAACATTCACAATGAGTGCTGGATTTTAAGCATGAGCTTCCCTTTAATGTGCTGGGATCATGGTTGTATCTAGCACTCATGGTTCATGTCCTGCTGGAAACTCTTACTTAAAACCAAGAATTCATTGTTCGTGAATTATTGTGGGCTTATGGGTGGAAACCAGCACTGAATGTGAATGTACTGAGACTAAGATGAGTCTCACAGAACTCATGGTATATGTGCTGGGGGAGGATCATGCCTAAACTCCAGCAATAATGTGAATGTACTGAGCGAGACTGAAGAACTAATGGTTTATGTGTGGATGGAGACTCACATAGCTAACCTATCACTCATGGGGCAGGTACGTCAGAAGTTCATGTCTATATCCCACCACTCACTGTGAATGCACTGCCCCAAATGCAAACCAGTAGCCCAGCACTTCCACTGCATGCACTGCAGGAGGCCGACACAAGTGCAGCAGCACTCATGGTGCATATCCTGTGTGAGACTGACACTTGTACCAGCAAGCATGGCGCGTGCACTGCAAGGTGCGTGCAACAGTCTGAAAGAACCAGCTTCCAGGCTGCTGACAGCACTGACTGTCCACAGTGTAGCACAAACTGACACTTCTTTATCTGAGGGCTTAGGAAATGTACACTCAGAGCTATTTTGAGGGATTCCTTCTTTATTCTCTCACGGTGCTTTCATGATGCCCCTTTGTTACCCTCCCTGCTTTCTCCATCTCTCATTCTAACTCTGTCTTTACTCTTGATGTTTCGCTCCTGATTCTCTCATGCATGATGTTATTATTCTTCTAGCCCATTTTAACTCCTTCTCTCATGGTTTTCCTCTGATGCCCCAAAGTTTCTTTGTTCTTCACAGCTTAGATATCCAAAATTTTTTTCAAGCAATATACATCTTATTTGACAAAAAAATATCATCTGATGTCAGGATAAGATCTGGAGCACCCTACACATTCTTTGTATTAAGGCATGGCCATGTTTCTTGGTCATTAAAATGGGTCCTTGTCTTGCTTCATGCCATGCTGTGGTCCTGGACCCTTTGTGATTAGGATTGTTCTAGGTCAAATGAGATGAGGGTGTGGCTCAAATGTCCTTGAATTTAAGCTTGCCCCAGATGCCTTGGTAATTAGGGAGCTGCCACGCTGCCAATGATGTCCCTGGATCTTTGTATGGACTGAATGTTTCTGTGTCCCTTCTGTTTTACATGTGCTTCCAAGCTTTGAATTCTCAGATTAATGTTTTTAATTTAGAGTACCTGTTAAAACCAGAAAGCATGAAATGGACCCTTAGAGGAGAACAGGCCTGGAGGGAGTGGGATGGCAGAAGAAATGCACTGTGGACGGGGTGAGGGAATCTTGCAAGTGGAAAGGTTTAACCAGGGATGGAAGAAGTGTGGTGTTGGGGAAAGGGGTAACCAAAAGTATGCATGGAGGAAAAAATCCTTTTAGACAAATATTACATTTTAAATTGTTTAAGTTTAGCATGTTAAGGTTCTTGATGCCAACCATATAATGTTAAGTTTAATGTTGGGAAATCACATAGTAAAAGGTAAGAAAATGACCCAGAAAATGATCCTCTGACCTCCATACATGGACCGTGGTTTGCCACCAAGCCTAATGAATGAAGCTGCATCCTTGGAAGCCTAAGTAAAACAACTGAATGAAGTAGCCCTGCATGCATGGATAACGTTCCTCTCAGAAGATTAAGTTTACCAAACAAAGACCCCAATACTATAGGATAGTTCCCTCTGAGGTGTGAAGCAAGGGGGGGGGGGCTACTGTCAAACATTACAAGCTCTTGCCAATGTCCTCATTTACACATGAGAATTAGATTGTAGGACTCTTCTGAACACACTGCACACTTGGGATATAGGACATTTAGAAGTCATGTTGTGTCCATGCTGGCTAGCTTTCACAGTACTAGAACTTCTATGCAAGCTACTGTATGAGGGAAGTTGGCAATGATTCTACCCATCTGTAGACCCTGCGTGTGACAACTTGCCTGGCAAGATATTCTCTGTGTGTTGACTCTTATAGGAACAATGAAATTTGTGATTTGATTTTAGGTCTACCACACAGTAGGGAACTCTTGGCTGGTTCTGTAAACTTGGTTAAGAGCCCAATGACTGAGGCCATGGTGATGTAATATGACAATATGTCTTATTCTAGAGACTGAAACATTTGCTTGACATCACAGCCAGAGTTCATAACATATCTTGAGGTCACTTAAAACATAAGGCTGCTATCCTACTGTGTACTCAAATTGATTGTTTAGCCAACTTTTAAGAGAAAAATGTAACAATTACGACCACTTTCCTTGGTCTTTATAATAGCTGCCTCTTACAAACTAAACTAATACTTAATTGTAATGTTAAATTATGTCTTTTTTTTTGCTCTGATTGGTATTTTATTTCTCCTTTACAGGTTCCACATAATAGACAAAGGTTTTTTGATAACATATTGTTATCTTTGCTGGAGATGATCATATGATCATTCTAAACAACACAAATGTGTACATACAAGAGACTGAGGTTTCTGCAGCCTATAAACACCTCTTTGGGTTTAAAAAGGAAAAAAAGCAATATATGACAATTCAACCGCAACTCTCAGAAAAACACGTTTCCTGACCAAACATGAGCGCCCTGTACATGGACCTATCATCAAAGACAGCAAGGTGCCGGGGGAAGCCAAGAGCAGCTCCTCACACCAGCTCAGAAGACCCTCCCCATCCAGTACCTCCTCAAGGTGCTCCATCTTCATCACAGGAAGATAGCGGTCACCCCAAAAGAAGACAGGAGCAGCAAATAAACATTGTTGTAAAATCTGAGTGTCTTCCACAGTATTTCACACCAGCATCTCAGGAACTCCATGCAAGCATGCGTACCATTTTCTAGATTGCTCCCTTCATTTCTCAAGAAAGGGAACCAGGTCTTCCTAACTGATTTTAGGTGCCTGGGAAAACTAAGTATTTCACCAGAAGGGATATAAGCAATGCTATTTGATAAGAGTAAGAATAAGGAGAAAGCAGCTATCTTAAAGAAAAGTGTGCTCTACTCACACTAAAGTATCAGACCAATGCACAACATACTGCAAAACTGTAATACAACACGGTCAAACACAATGGCAAATATGAAACTGTTCAAGCACATGAAGATCATCTTCGGAAAGACAAGCTGGGTTCTTATTTGTAGCTACCTTTGTGTAACTTTAAAAACTGTTGTCCCTCAACAAGGTCTGACACTGATCTTGATACTTGTTAGGAAGTTTGCTATGAGGCAATGGTGGCTCAACAGTCAGGTTCAGAGTTCGCCTGGTGCTCATCTTCAGAATTCATCCGAGGACTGGGCATCATCTTCATCCCTCACTTCTCGGTATCTCCCTGAAGACTCCCCTTCTGGATTGTAGCTCTGCATTTTAATGTTCAGTCTCTCAGCTAGTTTCTGTGCTGCGAGCTTTGCCTGCATCTCCTCGTAATTTTGCTTCTGTTCTTTCTGCAGAGCCAGTGACTCTTCTATGGAGAGCAGCTGTGCAGGTAGGTGGTGGAGCGGAAGGAGGCGTGCTGCTGTGATGTCATCAAGATGCTGCCTAGCCCTGCGTCGCTGCTCTTCTGAAGAAGGAGATTCACCCCTCTGACAATGACTTGGTGAGTCACTCTGTTGAGTGGGTAATACATTGGTCTTAAACTTATGAGGAGGGGGCACTGGGTTTTTGGCTCGCATTTCTAGCACTTCCATGTAATGAGGCCTCTTAGGAGTCTCTCTCTGGAGCCCTGGCACGTTCTCAGTGCTGGTGTTTTCTTCTGCGGGCTCACTCTGGTCTGCAATTGTGATCTTTTGCAACTTAGTGAGAAACAGACTGTCAATGCCGCTGGAAATGTCTTCCGCTTGACTTGAAACAGGGCGCTGGGGGAGATGTTCGTTAACTTCAGATGAGGGTGCCCTGGCTTTGCTGCCGGGAGCTGCACCCGGGTTCACTGTGCAGCCAGCCTCCAAAGTCTCTTCGTTGCCTCTGGGAGTGAGATGTGCAGGTCCTTGTGTTTCTGAGGTTGTTCTGAATGATTTGTCAGGAACTAATGATGAAGTATCAAGCATCAGGTCAGAATTCTGGGCCTTGTCTACGTCGGTATCGACTCTTGTGGCTGCTTGTTGCCTTAGCTTACAGTCTACACTAACAGGATGAAACAGTTCACTTCTTGCTCTAACCTCTTCGTGTTCTGCAATGGCAGCTTTCAGTTTGGCGATGGTGTCTGAGATCTTTTTACCTTTGTCGGGCAATTTGCAAATGAATTTTTCGTTGCGCAAAAGTCTCTCCTGGCGCCTCAACCTCTCCCGCAGCTCCGCCGCACTCCGCTGCCCCAAGTCCTCGGGAGCTGGGGGCTCGAAGCCGCGGGGCAGCGAGAACATTGTGCACGGGCTGAGGCTGGCGCGGCGGGCAGGGTTCCCCGGCGGGGCCCACAGCGGGCGCAGGCTCCGCGGCCTGCGGCGACTCTGGTGCGGGAGCGGGAGTCGCCATTTTCCCGGAAGAGCGCGGCTTCTTCCAGCCGAACGGAGTTTTCTGGAAATCAATTATGTCTTTTTCTGTGCCCCTGATCCAGAACAGTTCATGTTTATCATTTGTATAAAAGAGCAAACATAGAGGTTGAAAACACTTCTAAATGAGTATCCACCGAAACAGTTGGGCACAGCAACATTACTGGGCAATCATGGTATTTGTAATTTCTTTTTAAGGCTGGGTAAATTGGGTTCAGTTGTGCTCACTACCTTAATCCCTTGTAAGACTCCATGAATGATTTCTGTAAAGTACCCCACTCCTTCCCCAGATGATTCTTATGGGGAAATTCAATAAAAGAGAGAGCAAGAAAAGGGGCAGACACACATAGGGACAGACAAAGACTCAGACAGACAGACAGACATAGGGACACATGTAGGGACAGACAGACATAGGGACAGACAAAGACTCAGACAGACAGACACACACACACACACACACACACACACACACAAAAACCAGACAAAGGGACAGACAGACTTCTTCAGAAAGGCACAGATTTGGGTTCATGCAACAGACATAGGAGGGAAGACAGGGAACATGGAGAAAATTCAAACCTGGAAATGACTCCCAGTGGAAGTGCTTTTATTTCTTTACTGCCATGCTGATGCAGTATTGGTGACTCTGAGTTAATCACTGATGTGATGAATCCACACAATAGGCCCTCTGTTGTTGATTTGTTAAAATTACATGGCATCAAACTGCCTTCTACGTACTCTCCCTGACACCTATTCATTTGAGCAACTGGGATCCCTAATGAGAGAGGCTTCTTTAGGAAGTGGGCTCTGCTGACTGCACAGACTCACACCTGGCCAAAGTTTAGAGAATACATAACTGTGCAGTTCTCAGACCTCAGCAGGACACCTGAACCACAACACGCTGCAAGGCTCAGGGACTGCTTTGGAAGTGAGAGGCAGAGGTTGAAGATTGTTTCTGTGAAATGGTGTCCAGGACACAATGATAATCACACACAGGAAGGGGCTCATAAGGCCCCACCCTCAGTGAGGGACTTTGCTCACTTAATATGTGCTGGGTGATGGAATGTCATAAAAAGTAAAGAGGGAATGCAGGTAAGCAGCCACAGTTTAAATCTATGGATGTTAAGGCCAATAGAGTAGTTCGAGTGGTGTTTTCACTCATGTGAGAGCAGTGTGAGAAGGGAAACCTCAACATGACTTGTCTGTGCCTTGGAAAATCCACTAAAATTCATTGAACTCCAGTTTCCAAAACTGCAATTGCAGGCCCAGATACCCAGAAATGGGCTCAACCTGGACTTTTGGAGGCTTTCTGGAGGGTACATAAATCCAACATTCCTTAAAAACTTGTGAAGCTACTTCCTCTTCTCAAAGGGGTCATTTCTCTTCTCACTGGCAGTAGGAAAAGTTGACTATCTGTGGTCATTATCTATTACTATAACAAGGTACAGACTAGCCTCCAGGTCCTTCAGTAGCACCAGTACCCACTGGACATGTCAGAGTCCTTGCTCGTGTTCTAGGTCTTCTACCCTGCTCCCTACCCTAAACTCCCTCTAGTTCAGAAGCATCCCTCTCCCAGCTTCTCATTCTCTTCCTAAACCTATCTCTCTGTCTCCTCCTGTCTCTATGTTCCTCTCCCTCTCTCTGTGTCTCCTCTTCTGTCTCTCTCCATCTGCCTCTCTGCTCTGCTTCTGCTTCTATCATAGGCAGGTGCAGTTGACTATGTTCAGCCAACATCTATTTCTGCTCTGCGTGATTTGATGTGCCACTGTCTGTTCTATCTCTGATAGCTATAATAGAAGCTTTCTCCTTAAACATGTCACCAAGAGGTCATGCCATCAGCTTGTACAATACAAAGAAATAGTTTAAAATATTTTCATAGTATATTTTAATGAAAAGCTACTAAAAACTTATATACAAAATTCAATATATACTGTATCAATTTTCAGAGAAATATTTAACATTATAATTTCTATTTTTTTTCTGAGAGTAAGTACAGATTTTATTTATTATTATTATTAAAATTTTTCACCTCCTCCCATTTTCTTCCCCTTCCCCTCATTCCCCCTCCTCCTCCCTCTCCAGTCCAAAGAGCAGTCAGGGTTCCCTGCCCTGTGGGAAGTCCAAGGTCCTCCCTCCTCCATCCAGGTCTAGGAAGGTGAGCATCCAAACAGACTAGGTTCCCACAAAGCCAGTACATGCAGTAGAATCAAAACCCAGTGCCATTGTCCTTGGCTTCTCAGTCAGCCCTCCTTGTCAGCCATGTTCAGAGAGTCCGGTTTGATCACATGCTCCATCAGTCCCAGTCCAGCTGGACTTGGTGAGTTCCCCTTAGATCAGCCCCACCGTCACAGTGGGTGGGTGTACCCCTTGCGGTCCTGACTTTCTTGTTCATGTTCTCTCTCCTCAGCGGTAAAAAACAACGACATCTTGAATTTTGCATGCAAATGGATGGAAATAGAACACACTATCCTGAGTGAGGTAACCCAGACCCCAAAAGATGAATATGGTATGTACTCACTCATTAGTGGATTCTAGCCATAAATAAAGGACATTGAACCTATACTTCGTGATCCTAGAGAAGCTAAATAGGAAGGTGAACCCAAAGAAAAACATATAGTTATCCTCCTGGATATTGGAAGTAGACAAGATATCCAGGCAAAAATTGGGAGCTTGGGGGATGGGTGAGGTGGAGAGGGGGAGAGAGAAGTGAGAAGGGAAGGATGGGGAGAGTTTGGGGGAATGGGATGGTGGGATGGAGGAAGAGTGGATATGGGAGCAGGGAAGTATATATCTTAATTAAGGGAGCCATTTTAGGGTTGGCAAGAGACTGGAATCTAGAGAGGTTCCCAGGTGTCCAAGGAGATGTCCCCAGCTTGTTCCTTGAGCAGCTGAGGAGAGGACGCCTTGCATATCACCATAGAACCTTCATCTGGCAATGGATGGAGATAGAGACAGAGACCCACATTGGAGCACTGGACTGAGCTCCCAAGGTCCAATTGAGGAAAATTTCTAAATTTTATAAAATATTTCTGACAGATTGTCACTTGAAAGCCAATGTAATAATATCATAACAACATCATTTTTAAAGGTGTCTTATATCTTTAATCTTTCAAAATAATGTACAACAGGTTAATAGTTTTTTTTTAGAATACCAAAAAGGAGGTGGACTAAGAAGGAACTAGATTACATATATATATATATGAAGGAACCAGAAATACATTATAATTTATTTTTTATATATTTTTATAGTATTCTTTCATCCCCTGCAGTACATTCCACATGCTTCCTCAAAAAGAGTTTTAAAATCATGCATTCTGAAAATATTGAGCTCATTTAAAAGACCAGGTATTTTAATTGTACATATATAAATATATAAACCCCCACACACATAAGCCATGTTGATTCTTATATTCTAGCCCTAGCTGGGCCGCTTAGCCTCAACAACTCTCAGTGGAATTTTTTATTCCTGAATGTTGAACAATAGGGTGCCAAGGAACCCATACATATCTATATTTGTATTCATAAAGATGTGGCAAACTCAGCATCTAATATTTGTCATCTTTTGTTACAAATGAACAACTCTACTCCTTTTCTGGAAATCTCATGAAATTCATTCTAGGCAGAAATTGATTTCAATATTTTATCGGATGGCAGAATAATGAATTTATTGACCTCTTGGAAATACTTTTGACCCTTTGCTCCTTTCAACTCTCCATTACAGTTCCTTAACCTCCTTAGAATTCCGCACAACTAGGAGGCTTCTGATCAAGGAGTAAGAGAGAAAGTCCAAGTAGCAAAGTGTTTTTGTTTATCTTTCAGAATTTATCAGTGTATTCCACTAGATAAAGTCAAATTCCTATTGACTTGTGTATCCCCTTGAGTTGTGTTCTTTCTCTGGGGATGCATGTACAGTACATGTTTAAATAGGTGAATGAAAGTTTAGCAAGCTTTACATGTACTGAAAGCATAATAAGGTCTATAGAATTAGATAAGAGTTAATGTTTTAAACTGGCCAGTAATTCAAGGAACAAAACACTATATGTAATTTATCTGCAAAACTGGTGAAAGATGGATGTTATGTCTCCCTCCCTTTTTTAATAACACACTTAGTCCAACTGGTAATGTCCACATGCACTTGGCTGTGGGGGATCCTACTGGAAGTCTTACTCCTTAAGATAAATGACACAAAAATGGGATGAGGACAAGTTAGGGGATGGGATGGAGGCAGAGGACAGGGATGGGGAAGATATGAGCAACATGGATGATCTGAATTACATACATTAAAATGTCAAAGAGTAAACTGAAAATATTCTTCAAACAATTAAATGAAAAAAAAAAACCTCAAAAAATATTTCTGACACTTAACAACAGGAGCTCTTCATAGGTTGTTCAGCAGAAACTAAAAAGAAAAGCAAGAATTATCAGTAGTATCAAGAACATCATTGGTAGCATCGTCAAGATAAGCAGTAACAGAGGCATCACCCATAGAATCCTATGTAGTGTCATGTCACAATGAGTAAAATTGTATTTGAGAATGGTGAGAATGTGGAGTCTTGTTTCACTGGTTTTATTCTCAGAGGTTGTTTCTTTTGGGGTGTTTGTTTCCAAAATAATGCTGTCCACATAAGTCACAGTGTATGGACACAGAAAAATAACAACTAATATCTAACAGTTACATTTCCCTGCTTCGCCATTCAGAAAATACAAGTTTCACATTAAGAGTGAAAATCATTTCCTCATTCCAGCATGGGAGGCAACTGTGTGCTTACCAACTTTACTTGGTCAGTTTGGTTGGACTAAACTGATTGTGTTAATTTTATGTGATGCATTTTCAATATGACTAGAAAAGATAATCATTTTTTTCTAGTTATAGGTAATATCTAAAGAGTCCT